GCGGCGGTGGTGGTGGCGGCGGTGGTGGTGGTGGTGGCGATGTGGAGTGGGGGGGGGGGAGACAGCAGCGAGGGAGATGGGAAGGAGAGAGAGGAGACACGGGGCAGGAAGACACCATCACCGTGGAAACCGAGCGTCGCTCACCGTCACCGTGGAGACCGAGCATCGCTCACCGTCACCGTGGAAACCGCGCGTCGCTCACCGTCACCGTGGAGACCGAGCGTCGCTCACCGTCACCGTGGAGACCGAGCGTCGCTCACCGTCACCATGGAGACCGAGCGTCGCTCACCGTCACCGTGGAGACCGAGCGTCGCTCACCTCACCGTGGAGACAGCGTCGCTCACCGTCACCATGGAGACCGAGCGTCGCTCACCGTCACCGTGGAGACCGAGCGTCGCTCACCGTCACCATGGAGACCGAGCGTCGCTCACCGTCACCGTGGAGACCGAGCGTCGCTCACCGTCACCGTGGAGACCGAGCGTCGCTCACCGTCACCATGGAGACCGAGCGTCGCTCACCGTCACCGTGGAGACCGAGCGTCGCTCACAGTCACCGTGGAGACCGAGCGTCGCTCACCGTCACCATGGAGACCGAGCGTCGCTCACCGTCACCGTGGAGACCGAGCGTCGCTCACCGTCACCGTGGAGACCGAGCGTCGCTCACCGTCACCATGGAGACCGAGCGTCGCTCACCGTCACCGTGGAGACCGAGCGTCGCTCACCGTCACCATGGAGACCGAGCGTCGCTCACCGTCACCATGGAGACCGAGCGTCGCTCACCGTCACCGTGGAGACCGAGCGTCGCTCACCGTCACCATGGAGACCGAGCGTCGCTCACCGTCACCGTGGAGACCGAGCGTCGCTCACCGTCACCGTGGAGACCGAGCGTCGCTCACCGTCACCATGGAGACCGAGCGTCGCTCACCGTCACCGTGGAGGACCGAGCGTCGCTCACCGTCACCATGGAGACCGAGCGTCGCTCCTCCGTCACCGTGGAGACCGAGCGTCGCTCACCGTCACCATGGAGACCGAGCGTCGCTCACCGTCACCATGGAGACCGAGCGTCGCTCACCGTCACCATGGAGACCGAGCGTCGCTCACCGTCACCATGGAGACCGAGCGTCGCTCACCGTCACCGTGGAGACCGAGCGTCGCTCACCGTCACCGTGGAGACCGAGCGTCGCTCACCGTCACCGTGGAGACCGAGCGTCGCTCACCGTCACCATGGAGACCGAGCGTCACTCACCGTCACCATGGAGACCGAGCGTCGCTCACCGTCACCATGGAGACCGAGCGTCACTCACCGTCACCATGGAGACCGAGCGTCACTCACTGTCACCGTGGGACTCACCGAATGCGCAGCAGTTCACTGCCGCGGTGGTCGGGCGAGGGGCAGCAGGTGCGGTGGTCGCGCTCACAGTCCAACTGGGCAGTGGGGGAGAGAGTACATCTGGTTTTGGCGGCGTCGTCATCGTCGTCATCATCATCGTCATCGACGTCGTCATCATCGTCGTCATCATCGTCGTCATCGTCAGAGACCCATAGACTCACCACACAGAAACCCACAGACTCACCACACAGAGACCCACAGACTCATCACACAGAGACCCACAGACTCATCACACAGAGACCCATAGACTCATCACACGGAGACCCATAGACTCATCACACAGAGACCCATAGACTCAACACACAGAGACCCATAGACTCACCACACAGAGACCCACAGACTCACCACACAGAAACCCATAGACTCACCACACAGAGACCCACAGACTCACCACACAGAAACCCACAGACTCATCACACAGAAACCCATAGACTCACCACGCAGATACCCACAGACTCACCACACAGAAACCCACAGACTCACCACGCAGATACCCACAGACTCACCACACAGAAACCCACAGACTCACCACACAGAGACCCACAGACTCACCACACAGAGACCCACAGACTCACCACGCAGATACCCACAGACTCACCACACAGAAACCCACAGACTCACCACGCAGATACCCACAGACTCACCACACAGAAACCCACAGACTCACCACACAGAAACCCACAGACTCACCACACAGAGACAATTTCAACCGAGAAGATGGATTCTGGCTCGGCAATCATTGGAAGGATTTGATAAACCATTTCGGGGTCTTGATTGATTGTGTTCACGGTCACGGTGACTTTCAGACCGCGTTCCATTCACCCTCTCCCCCCCCCCCCCACCTCCTCCTCCGTTCCGAGCATCGATGAACAACCGCCAATCGATGCCCATGGGGTGCTGACGTTAAGAAAGAAACGCCGCTTTTTTCAAATTTTCTCGCCGCGGTTTTTCACACCCGACGATGATTACTGGCGTTGCAGAGGTCGCAAACGGGTTTCGATTCCTTACCCGTACCCGGCCGCACCAGGGTCGCAAACAGCTACCCGTACCCGGCCGTACCCGTACCCTACCCGTAACCCAGCCGGGTATCGGGTAGGGTACGGGTATCGGGTACCTGATTGCGACCTCTGGGATGAAGCCACGTTGCAGGCGTGGGTGGGTTGATTCTAGGAACTTGAATTGTGAGAAGAGACAAGACGTTGGGAAATGAGTGACAAACGGTGACTCACCAGTGACTCACGGCCTACCCGTACCCGGCCGCACCAGGGTCGCAAACGGCTACCAGTACCCAGCCGGGTACGGGTAGCCGGGTAGGGTACGTGTATCGGGTAGGGTACGGGTATCGGGTAGGGTACGGGTATCGGATAGGGTACAGGTATCGGGTAGGGTACGGGTATGGGGTAGGGTACGGGTATCGGGTAGGGTATCGGGTAGGGTACGGGTATCGGTTACGGGTATCGGGTAGGGTACGGGTATCGGGTAGGGTACGGGTATCGGGTAGGGTACGGGTATCGGGTAGGGTACGGGTATCTGGTAGGGTACGGGTATCGGGTAGGGTACGGGTATCGGGTAGGGTACGGGTATCGGGTAGGGTACGGGTATCGGGTAAGGTACGGGTATCGGGTAGGGTACGGGTATCTGGTAGGGTACGGGTATCAGGTAGGGTACGGGTATCTGGTAGGGTACGGGTATCGGGTAGGGTACGGGTATCGGGTAGGGTACGGGTATCTGGTAGGGTACGGGTATCGGGTAGGGTACGGGTATCGGGTAGGGTACGGGTATCGGGTAGGGTACGGGTATCGGGTAGGGTACGGGTATCGGGTAGGGTACGGGTATCTGGTAGGGTACGGGTATCGGGTAGGGTACGGGTATCGGGTAGGGTACGGGTATCGGGTAGGGTACGGGTATCGGGTAGGGTACGGGTATCGGGTAGGGTACGGGTATCGGGTAGGGTACGGGTATCTGGTAGGGTACGGGTATCAGGTAGGGTACGGGTATCTGGTAGGGTACGGGTATCCGGTAGGGTACGGGTATCGGGTAGGGTACGGGTATCGGGTAGGGTACGGGTATCGGGTAGGGTACGGGTATCTGGTAGGGTACGGGTATCGGGTAGGGTACGGGTATCTGGTAGGGTACGGGTATCAGGTAGGGTACGGGTATCTGGTAGGGTACGGGTATCCGGTAGGGTACGGGTATCGGGTAGGGTACGGGTATCGGGTAGGGTACGGGTATCGGGTAGGGTACGGGTATCTGGTAGGGTACGGGTATCGGGTAGGGTACGGGTATCTGGTAGGGTACGGGTATCGGGTACCCGGTTGCGTCATCTGTTGCGTTGCGATCGAAACGTCGCGAGAATGTTAAATCCTCATCATTTAATTATTTCCCTTCCACGTGACCTCACCGAAAGAACCACGAACATGAACTTTGCTCGCTGCGCGTGATCCGCGCGTGCAAACGACAAGACGCCGTCAAAAATTCGCTTTTCCTCGGCCCCGGGCGTCACGGTGCCGACTGCGTCCCATTGGAGGACACGGCCGCGGAGTTTCACCGCAAGCGCCCCCCAAACTCCACCGAGCTCACCACCCCCCCCTCCCCCTCTTGCCTGTGCCGATTTGGCGTCGCCTCGCCGGTCCTCCGTCGGCCGAGGAGCCGAGCTCCCGGCCCGCAGCGTCTCACCGCCGCCGCCACCGTCACCGCCACCGTCACCACGACCAGCGGCGATGTCACCGTCACCACGACCGGCGGCCGCATCGTCCAGCCGACACCGCCGCCTCTTGGCTGGAGACCGGTTAACGTCGGGGGGCTCTTGCCGACGCTGCTGCTGCTGCTGCTCCTGCTGCTGCCAGCGCTCCACCCCAGCGCCGCAGGAGCTACCAACGGCTCCACCGCCGTCACCGTCACCGTCACCACCACCGTCACCACCATCATCATCCTCCTCCTCCACGCCCACCCGGTCAGCATGGAGGTGTCCGCTTGCCGCGCTGCCATCTGCACGGGGACAGGGTCAAGCGGAGACGGGTCACTGTGATGTGGGGGGGGTGGGGGGGGGTGGGGGCCGCAGGGTTTGCTGGGAGGGGGGTGGGGGTGGTGGCCCACGTGGACAAGGCCCGGGTCGCAGTCCGCGACGGTCGCAGCGATGGCACCGCGGGTCCCGCTCACGGGCTTAGAGATCCGAACTCACACAGAGACACATAGACACACAGAGACACATAGAGATACATAGAGACCCATAGAGACACACAGACACAGAGACCCATAGAGACACGCAGACACAGAGACCCATAGAGACACGCAGACACAGAGACCCATAGACTCACACAGAGACCCATAAAGACACACAGAGACCCATAAAGACACACAGAGACCCATAGAGATACATAGAGACCCATAGAGACACACAGACACAGAGACCCATAGAGACACGCAGACACAGAGACCCATAGAGACACGCAGACACAGAGACCCATAGACTCACACAGAGACCCATAAAGACACACAGAGACCCATAAAGACACACAGAGACCCATAGAGACACACAGAGACCCATAGAGACACACAGAGACCCATAGATACACACAGAGACCCATAGAGACACACAGAGACCCATAGAGACACGCAGACACAGAGACCCATAGACTCACACAGAGACCCATAGAGACACACAGAGACCCATAGAGACACACAGAGACCCATAGAGACACGCAGACACCGAGACCCATAGAGACACACAGACACCCATAGAGACACACAGAGACCCATAGAGACACACAGAGACCCATAGAGACACACAGAGACCCATAGAGACACGCAGACACAGAGACCCATAGAGACACACAGAGACACATAGAGACACGCAGACACAGAGACCCATAGAGACATGCAGACACAGAGACCCATAGAGACACACAGAGACCCATAGAGACACGCAGACACAGAGACCCATAGAGACACACATACCCATAGAGACACACAGAGACCCATAGAGACACACAGAGACCCATAGAGACACACAGAGACCCATAGAGACACACAGAGACCCATAGAGACACACAGAGACCCATAGAGACACACAGAGACCCATAGAGACACACAGAGACCCATAGAGACACACAGAGACCCATAGAGACACGCAGACACAGAGACCCATAGAGACATGCAGACACAGAGACCCATAGAGACACAGAGACACATAGAGACACGCAGACACAGAGACCCATAGAGACACACAGAGACACATAGAGACACGCAGACACAGAGACCCATAGAGACACACATACCCATAGAGACACACAGAGACCCATAAAGACACACAGAGACCCATAGAGACACACAGAGACCCATAGAGACACACATACCCATAGAGACACACAGAGACCCATAGAGACACACAGAGACCCATAAAGACACACAGAGACCCATAGAGACACGCAGACACAGAGACCCATAGAGACACACATATCCATAGAGACACACAGAGACACATAGAGACACGCAGACACAGAGACCCATAGAGACACACATATCCATAGAGACACACAGAGACCCATAAAGACACACAGAGACCCATAGAGACACACAGAGACCCATAGAGACACACATACCCATAGAGACACACAGAGACCCATAGAGACACACAGAGACCCATAAAGACACACAGAGACCCATAGAGACACGCAGACACAGAGACCCATAGAGACACACAGAGACACATAAAGACACGCAGACACAGAGACCCATAGAGACACACATACCCATAGAGACACACAGAGACCCATAGAGACACACAGAGACCCATAGAGACACACAGAGACCCATAGAGACACGCAGACACAGATACCCATAGAGACACATATTCATAGACTCACACAGCAGAGACCCAATGGGTCTCTGCTGTGTGAGTCTATAGGTCTCTGCTGTGTGAGTCTGTGGGTCTCTGCTGTGTGAGTCTATGGGTCTCTGCTGTGTGAGTCTATGGGTCTCTGTGTGATGAGTCTGTGGGTCTCTGTTGTGTGAGTCTATGGGTCTCTGCTGTGTGAGTCTATGGGTCTCTGTGTGATGAGTCTGTGGGTCTCTGTTGTGTGAGTCTGTGGGTCTCTGCTGTGTGAGTCTATGGGTCTCTGCTGCGTGAGTCTATGGGTCTCTGCTGTGTGAGTCTATGGGTCTCTGCTGCGTGAGTCTGTGGGTCTCTGTTGTGTGAGTCTGTGGGTCTCTGTTGTGTGAGTCTATGGGTCTCTGCTGCGTGAGTCTATGGGTCTCTGTGTGATGAGTCTGTGGGTCTCTGTTGTGTGAGTCTGTGGGTCTCTGCTGTGTGAGTCTATGGGTCTCTGCTGCGTGAGTCTATGGGTCTCTGTGTGATGAGTCTATGGGTCTCTGTGTGATGAGTCTATGGGTCTCTGCTGTGTGAGTCTGTGGGTCTCTGCTGTGTGAGTCTATGGGTCTCTGCTGTGTGAGTCTATGGGTCTCTGCTGCGTGAGTCTATGGGTCTCTGCTGTGTGAGTCTATGGGTCTCTGCTGTGTGAGTCTATGGGTCTCTGCTGTGTGAGTCTATGGGTCTCTGCTGTGTGAGTCTATGGGTCTCTGTACGTGTGAGTCTATGGGTCTCTGCTGTGTGAGTCTATGGATCTCTGTGTGAGTCTACGGGTCTCTGCTGTGTGAGTCTGTGGGTCTGCTGTGTGAGTCTATGGGTGTCTGCTGTGTGAGTCTATGGGTCTCTGCTGTGTGAGTCTGTGGGTCTCTGCTGTGTGAGTCTGTGGGTCTGCTGTGTGAGTCTATGGGTGTCTGCTGTGTGAGTCTATGGGTCTCTGCTGTGTGAGTCTGTGGGTCTCTGCTGTGTGAGTCTATGGGTGTCTGCTGTGTGAGTCTATGGGTGTCTGCCGTATGAGACTACGGGTCTCTGCTGTGTGAGTCTATGGGTCTCTGCTGTGTGAGTGTGGGTCTCTGCTGTGTGAGTCTATGGGTCTCTGCTGTGTGAGTCTATAGGTGCGGTGTGTAAACATCGCCACTGGGGAGACAAAGGCGGTCGGGCGTGGTGCTGGCCACCCACCCCCTCGTGTGCCGTTCCGGCCTTCATAGGTGCTCGCTAACAGCACTTGCCCCTACAGTCCGTCGAGGCTACACGGGGGATCTTTGTCTTTTATCGCCCTGCGCACAGGCCGGATGCCTACCCGTCAATCTGACTCACATAGAGACCCATGTTCACACGTCATCTGGTCCAACACCATGTGAGACTAGGCTCTAAGGAAAGCTGTCTCGGGTGTGGACCAATCAACTTCAAGGACAGCGCATACATTATCAGAGTTGTGTTTTTTGTTTGTATTATGACTGCAGGTATTGTGGTCTATGCAAACAAAAAGGTGTCAGTTTTGTTGCCGGATAGAAGGGTAACAAAACAATTATCAATCTGACGGAATTCGCCGCGAACCAGCGGAGTTGACTGGTCGCTTTCGGCGAAGTCTCCAGGCAGCCCCCCCCCCCCACCACCCCCCACGCACCCCCCCCCACCCCCCACGCACCCCCCCCCACCCCCCACGCACCCCCCCCCACCCCCCACGCACCCCCACCATGCACCCCCCCCACCCCCCATGCACCCCCCCCACCCACCCCCCCACCCCCACGCACCCCCCACCCCCACCCACCCCCCCATCCCCCCCACGCACCCCCCACCCATCCCCCCACCCCCACGCACCCCCCGACCCCCCACGCACCCCCCACCCCCCACGCACCCCCCCACCCCCCCACGCACCCCCCCACCCCCTCACCCCCACGCACCCCCCCACCCCCTCACCCCCCACGCACCCCCCCCCTCCAGCCCACCCCCGGGGTACGGCTACCTGAGCTGTGAGGACTTCCCAGCCTCAAGGCGTCTTGGTCGTCGAAAAGTCCCAACAGTTGCAGCTCTCCGTGGGTCTCATCGCCGTGCGTGTCAATCTCTGCCCCTCCCCACGTCTCGCTCTGTCCCCGTGTCTCTCTGTGTCCCTGTGTCTCTCTGTGTCTCTGTGTCTGTATCTGTCCCAGTGTCTCGCTCTGTCCCCGTGTCTCTCTGTGTCCCTGTGTCTGTATCTGTCCCTGTGACTCTCTCCGTCCCCGTGTCTGTATCTGTCCCTGTGTCTCTCTCTGTCCCTGTGTCCCACTCCCTCCCTGTGTCTCACTCCCTCCCTGTGTCTCTCTCTGTCCCCGTGTCTCTCTGTGTCCCAGTGTCTGTATCTGTCCCAGTGTCTGTATCTGTCCCAGTGACTCTCTCCGTCCCCGTGTCTGTATCTGTCCCTGTGTCTCTCTCTGTCCCTGTGTCCCACTCCCTCCCTGTGTCTCACTCCCTCCCTGTGTCTCTCTCTGTCCCCGTGTCTCTCTGTCTCCCTGTGTCTGTATCTGTCCCAGTGTCTCTCTCCGCCCCGGTGTCTCTCTGTGTCCCTGTGTCTGTATCTGTCCCAGTGTCTCTCTCTGTCCCTGTGTCTGTATCTGTCCCCGTGTCTCTCTCCGTCCCCGTGTCTCTCTCTGTCCCTGTGTCTCACTCCCTCCCAGTGTCTCTCTCCCTCCCTGTGTCTCTCTCCGCCCCAGTGACTCTCTCTGTCCCAGTGTCTCACTCTGTCCGTGTGTCCCACTCCCTCCCTGTGTCTCACTCCCTCCCAGTGTCTCTCTCCCTCCCTGTGTCTCTCTCCGCCCCAGTGTCTCTCTCTGTCCCAGTGTCTCACTCTGTCCGTGTGTCCCACTCCCTCCCTGTGTCTCTCTCCCTCCCCGCGTCTCTCTTCGTCTCCCGATCGTCAGCGGTGCCTCGTGCCGCTGCGTCTGACGGTGCCTCTCACTCCGCTGACCGTGGATCCGCGCGGACCCTACACAGCCGGAGAGAAGTTGGGGAAAAAATCAGAGACAATATTCTTGGCGGTCACACGGTGACCGTGCTCATGATACGAATGAGCGTCGGAGCCACTCATTCATCGCAGCACAGATCTACGGGAGAATTTTTCAAGTGGGAATGAAAATAAAAACCCACGCTTGCTTGGCTCGGATGCGGGCAGTGGACAAACACCACCCGTACCGCGCTGGCTTGGCTCGGATGTGGCAGTGGACAAACACCACTTGTACCGCGCTGGTTTGGCACGGATGTGGCAGTGGAAAACACCACTTGTACCGCGCTGGCTTGGCTCGGATGCGGGCAGTGGAAAACACCACCTGTACCGCGCTGGCTTGGCTTGGATGTGGCAGTGGAAAAACACCACCTGTACCGTGCTGGTTTGGCACGGATGTGGCAGTGGAAAAACACCACCTGTACCGTGCTGGCTTGGCTCGGATGTGGCAGTGGAAAAACACCACCTGTACCGTGCTGGTTTGGCTCGGATGTGGCCAGTGGAAAAACACCACCCGTACCGTGCTGGTTTGGCTCGGATGTGGCAGTGGAAAAACACCACCCGTACCGTGCTGGTTTGGCTCGGATGTGGCCAGTGGAAAAACACCACCCGTACCGTGCTGGTTTGGCTCGGATGTGGCAGTGGAAAAACACCACCTGTACCGTGCTGGTTTGGCTCGGATGTGGCCAGTGGAAAAACACCACCCGTACCGTGCTGGTTTGGCTCGGATGTGGGCAGTGGAAAAACACCACCTGTACCGTGCTGGCTTGGCTCGGATACAGGCAGTGGAAAAAACACCACCCGTACCGCGCTGGCTTGGCTCGGATACAGGCAGTGGAAAAACACCACCTGTACCGTGCTGGCTTGGCACGGATACAGGCAGTGGAAAAACACCACCCGTACCGCGCTGGCTTGGCTCGGATGTGGGCAGTGGAAAAACACCACCCGTACCGTGCTGGCTTGGCTCGGATGTGGGCAGTGGAAAAACACCACCCGTACCGTGCTGGCTTGACTCGGATACAGGCAGTGGAAAAACACCACTCGTACCGTGCTGGCTTGGCTCGGATGTGGCAGTGGAGAAACACCACTTGTACCACGCTGGCTTGGCTCGGATGTGGGCAGTGGAAAAACACCACCTGTACCGTGCTGGCTTGGCTCGGATGTGGGCAGTGGAGAAACACCACTTGTACCACGCTGGCTTGGCTCGGATGTGGGCAGTGGAAAAACACCACCCGTACCGCGCTGGCTTGGCTCGGATGTGGGCAGTGGAGAAACACCACTTGTACCACGCTGGCTTGGCTCGGATGTGGGCAGTGGAAAAACACCACCTGTACCGTGCTAGCTTGGCACGGATGTGGCAGTGGAAAAACACCACCCGTACCACGTTGGCTTGGCTAGGATGCAGGCAGTGGAAAAACACCACCCGTACCGTGCTGGCTTGGCTCGGATGTGGCTAGTGGAAAAACACCACCCGTACCACGTTGGCTTGGCTAGGATGTGGCCAGTGGAAAAACACCAGCCGTACCGTGCTGGCTTGGCTCGGATGTGACAGTGGAAAAACACCACCCGTACCGCGCTGGCTTGGCTCGGATGCGGGCAGTGGAAAAACACCACCCGTACCGCGCTGGCTTGGCTCAAATGCGGGCAGTGGAAAAACACCACCTGTACCGCGCTGGCTTGGCACAAATGCGGGCAGTGGAAAAACACCACCTGTACCGCGCTGGCTTGGCTCGGATGTGACAGTGGAAAAACACCACCCGTACCACGCTGGCTTGGCTCGGATGTGGCAGTGGAAAAACACCACCCGTACCGCGCTGGCTTGGCTCGGATGTGGCCAGTGGAAAAACACCACCCGTACCGCGCTGGCTTGGCTAGGATGTGGCCAGTGGAAAAACACCAGCCGTACCGTGCTGGCTTGGCTCGGATGTGACAGTGGAAAAACACCACCTGTACCGCGCTGGCTTGGCTCGGATGTGACAGTGGAAAAACACCACCCGTACCGCGCTGGCTTGGCTCGGATGTTGGCAGTGGAAAAACACCACCCGTACCGCGCTGGCTTGGCTCGGATGTGGCAGTGGAAAAAACACCACCCGTACCGTGCTGGCTTGGCTCGGATGTGGCCAGTGGAAAAACACCACCCGTACCGTGCTGGCTTGGCTCGGATGTGGCAGTGGGAAAAACACCACCCGTACCGCGCTGGCTTGGCTAGGATGTGGCCAGTGGAAAAACACCACCCGTACCGCGCTGGCTTGGCTCGGATGTGACAGTGGAAAAACACCACCTGTACCGCGCTGGCTTGGCTCGGATGTGACAGTGGAAAAACACCACCCGTACCGCGCTGGCTTGGCTCGGATGTGGGCAGTGGAAAAACACCACCTGTACCGTGCTGGCTTGGCACAAATGCGGGCAGTGGAAAAACACCACCTGTACCGTGCTGGCTTGGCTAGGATGTGGGCAGTGGAAAAACACCACCCGTACCGCGCTGGCTTGGCTCGGATGTGGCAGTGGAAAAACACCACCTGTACCGTGCTGGCTTGGCTCGGATGTGGCAGTGGAAAAACACCACCCGTACCGTGCTGGCTTGGCTCGGATGTGGCTAGTGGAAAAACACCACCCGTACCGCGCTGGCTTGGCTCGAATGCGGGCAGTGGAAAAACACCACCTGTACCGCGCTGGCTTGGCTCGGATGTGGCAGTGGAAAAAAGGTACCTGGGCAGGAGGCAGCCGGAGAGGGGGCGGCGGTGACGGTGTGAAGCGTCGTAGCCTCGTAGTCGTCCCTCCACTCTGCGGGGGGGACACACAGACGGGCGACACGCATCACCACCAGGCAAGAGAGCGCACCGTGGTAACCGTGGTAACCGTGTTAACGAGAGTAATCGTGGTAACGTGTTAACGAGAGTAACAGACCCATAGAGACCCACAGAGATACATAGAGACCCATAAATAGATATACAGACCCATAGAGACCCACAGAGATACATAGAGACCCATAAATAGACATACAGACCCATAGAGACCCACAGAGATACATAGAGACCCATAAATAGATATACAGACCCATAGAGACCCACAGAGATACATAGAGACCCATAAATAGATATACAGACCCATAGAGACCCACAGAGATACATAGAGACCCATAAATAGATATACAGACCCATAGAGACCCACAGAGATACATAGAGACCCATAAATAGACATACAGACCCATGGAGACTCATAGAGATACATAGAGACCCATAGAAACCCATAGAGATCCATAGAGACCCATAGAGACACATAGAGACCCATAAATAGACATACAGACCCATGGAGACTCATTGAGATACATAGAGACCCACACAGAGATACGTAGAGACCCACACAGAGATACGTAGAGACCCACGACCTCCTGCGTACCAGGCGAGGTAGTCAACATCTCATAGCCACCGTGATGATGATGATGATGATGAGAGAGAGACACACAGACTGTAGACCAGGCGAGGTAGTCAACATCTCCTAGCCACCGTGATGATGATGATGAGAGAGAGACGCAAACTCCAAATCTACAGCAGCAGGCATCGTCAGGGTCGGTATCAAACCCACGACCTCCTGCGTACCAGGCGAGGTAGTTAACATCTCATAGCCACCCATTGGCAGGTGTCAGGGGTCGGGATCAAACCCACGACCTCCTGCGTACCAGGCGAGGTAGTCAACATCTCCTAGCCGCAGTGATAATGATGATGATGCGAGAGAAGCAGACTCCACATCTACAGCAGCAGCAGCAGGCGTCGTCAGGGTCGTGATCAAACCCACGACCTCCTGCGTACCAGGCGAGGTAGTCAACATCTCCTAGCCACCGTGATAATGATGATGATGCGAGAGACGCAGACTCCAAATCTACAGCAGCAGCAGCAGGCGTCGTCAGGGTCGTGATCAAACCCACGACCTCCTGCGTACCAGGCGAGGTAGTCAACATCTCATAGCCGCAGCGACGCCCAAGACATGAAACCCACCGGCCAGGCTGTCGAGAATCATTTGCTGGCTGCGAGGGATCGCGAGGGTCCCGGAGGTTACGACGTCGTCGTCGCCGTCGTCGCCGTCGTCGACGTCGTCGCCCTGCGAAGAAGCGACACGTCCGTCAGCGTCCCGGTCAGCCAACGGTCGCGACGTCGCACCGACAAATCGTGAAACTAATAAACCATTTCTGTGTTTTTTTTTATTTCTTTCACCAGGCAAGGAGACCCCCCCCCCCCCCCCACCGCCGCCCACTGAGCTTCTACAGACGGAGGGACGGACGGAGGGACGGAGGGACGGAGGGACAGAGGGACGGACGGACGGAAGGACGGACGGAGGGACAGACGGACGGACGGAGGGACGGACGGACGGACGGACGGAGGGACACGGTGACTGCACCAAGCGCTATCGACCTCGGGTGACGGAGAGGGTACCTCCAGTGCAGCGCGCTCCACCGCCTCTCCTCCTCCTCCACCTCCTACCGCTCCACCTCCACCTCCACCTCCAACTCCTCCACCACCTCCTCCTCCACCACCTTCGTTGCTGGGGCCCGCACCTCCGGCAGCTGCAGCGGCAGCAGCAGGAGAATTATTCTGATCGGTCAGGACTAGCGGAGGAAAGAGAGCAGAGGTCGTCGTCGTCATCGTCGTCTTCGTCATCGTCTTCGTCATCGTCATCGTCGTCATCATCGTCATCGTCATCGTCGTCATCGTCTTCATCGTTGTCATCATCGTCATCATCGTCATCATCGTCATCGTCGTCATCGTTGTCATCATCGTCATCGTCGTCATCGTCTTCATCGTTGTCATCATCGTCATCATCGTCATCATCGTCATCGTCATCATCGTCGTCATCGTCGTCATCGTCGTCATCATCGTCATCGTTGTCATCGTCGTCATCGTCGTCATCGTCGTCATCGTCATCATCGTCATCATCGTCGTCATCGTCGTCATTGTCGTCGTCATCGTCGTCGTCATCATCATCATCTTCATCATCATCGTCGTCATCGTCGTCATCGTCATCATCATCGTCGTCATCGTCGTCATTGTCATCATCATCGTCATCATCGTCATCGTCGTCATCGTCATCATCGTCATCATCGTCGTCGTCGTCATCGTCGTCAACGTCGTCGTCATCGTCGTTGTCATCGTCATCGTCTTCATCATCATCGTCATCATCGTCGTCATCATCATCATCGTCATCATCATCGTCGTCATCATCATCATCGTCATCATCGTCGTCCCATAGACTCACACAGCAGAGACCCATAGACTCACACAGCAGAGACCCATAGACTCACACAGCAGAGACCCACACGCACACAGAGACCCATAGACTCACACAGCAGAGACCCATAGACTTCCACATCCATAGATTCACACAGCGACCCATGTAATGTTCTGATCCACTCAGAATGGCTCGTAAAAGTTGGCATCGTAGAGCTACCTCTGAGATCGCCTTCTTATTTTTGCAACCTTTTATCTCACTTCTACGTCGGCCACTCTTTGTGTGACCCAGCGTAGATGCAGCAGCAATCCTGTTGTTGTTGTTGTTGTCCATCCTACTACTGCTACTACTACACGTGTCCAAATACAGGGACCCCTCGACTAATGAACGAGTGAGGTCTCCGCAGGTCTGCTCACAAGTCAATTTGTTCAACTTTAGTCCTGTCGATTCCAAACATGTGCAGCGTGTACAATAAACACGGGGAATGGCGTTACAAGGTGAATCATCTCCTGCAGATGTAGATGCCACTGGTTCTTCACATTCTGCAGATGTAGATGCCACTGGTTCTTCACGTTCTGCAGATGTAGATGCCACTGGTTCTGAAGATGTAGATGCCACTGGTTCTTGACGTTCTACAGATGTAGATGCCACTGGTTCTTCACGTTCTACAGATGTAGATGCCACTGGTTCTTCATGTTCTGCAGATGTAGTTGCCACTGGTTCTACATGTTCTGAAGATGTAGATGTCACTGGTTCTTCATGTTCTGCAGATGTAGTTGCCACTGGTTCTTCACGTTCTGCAGATGTAGATGCCACTGGTTCTTCATGTTCTGCAGATGTAGATGTCACTAGTTCTTCATGTTCTGCAGATGTAGATGTCACTGGTTCTTCATGTTCTGCAGATGTAGAAGCAACTGGTCCTTCACATTCTGCAGATGTAGATGCCACTGGATCTACAGATGTAGATGCCACTGGTTCTTCATGTTCTGCAGATGTAGTTGCCACTGGTTCTTCACGTTCTGCAGATGTAGATGCCACTGGTTCTTCACATTCTGCAGATGTAGATGCCACTGGTTCTTCACGTTCTGCAGATGTAGATGCCACTGGTTCTTCACGTTCTACAGATGTAGATGCCACTGGTTCTTCACTTTCTGCAGATGTAGATGCCACTGGTTCCTCACGTTCTGCAGATGTAGAAGCCACTGGTTCTTCACGTTCTGCAAATGTAGATGCCACTGGTTCTTCATGTTCTGCAGATGTAGATGCCACTGGTTCTTCACGTTCTACAGATGTAGATGCCACTGATTCTTCACGTTCTGTAAATGTAGAAGCCACTGGTTTTTCACGTTCTGCAGATGTAGATGCCACTAGTTCGTCACGTTCTGCAGATGTAAATGCCACTGGTTCACGTTCTGCAGTTGTAGATGCCACTGGTTCTTCACGTTCTGCAGATGTAGATGCCACTGGTTCTTCACGTTCTGCAGATGTAGATGCCACTGGTTCTTCATGTTCTACAGATGTAGATGCCACTAGTTCGTCACGTTCTGCAGATGTAAATGCCACTGGTTCACGTTCTGCAGTTGTAGATGCCACTGGTTCTTCACGTTCTGCAGATGTAGATGCCACTGGTTCTTCACGTTCTGCAGATGTAGATGCCACTGGTTCTTCACGTTCTACAGATGTAGATGCCACTGGTTCTTCATGTTCTGCAGATGTAGTTGCCACTGGTTCTTCATGTTCGGCAGATGTAGATGTCACTGGTTCTTCATGTTCTGCAGATGTAGTTGCCACTGGTTCTTCACGTTCTGCAGATGTAGATGCCACTGGTTCTTCATGTTCTGCAGATGTAGAAGCAACTGGTCCTTCACGTTCTGCAGATGTAGATGCCACTGGTTCTTCATGTTCTGCAGATGTAGATGCCACTGGTTCTTCACGTTCTGCAGATGTAGATGCCACTGGTTCTACAGATGTAGATGCCACTGGTTCTTCATGTTCTGCAAATGTAGTTGCCACTGGTTCTTCACGTTCTGCAGATGTAGATGCCACTGGTTCTTCACGTTCTGCAGATGTAGATGCCACTGGTTCTTCACGTTCTGCAGATGTAGATGCCACTGGTTCTTCACGTTCTACAGATGTAGATGCCACTGGTTCTTCACTTTCTGCAGATGTAGATGCCACTGGTTCCTCACGTTCTGCAGATGTAGAAGCCACTGGTTCTTCACGTTCTACAGATGTAGATGCCACTGGTTCTTCACGTTCTGCAAATGTAGAAGCCACTGGTTTTTCACGTTCTGCAGATGTAGATGCCACTGGTTCTGAAGATGTAGATGCCACTGGTTCGTAACGTTCTGCAGATGTAGATGCCACTGGTTCTTCATGTTCTACAGATGTAGATGCCACTAGTTCGTCACGTTCTGCAGATGTAAATGCCACTGGTTCACGTTCTGCAGTTGTAGATGCCACTGGTTCTTCACGTTCTGCAGATGTAGATGCCACTGGTTCTTCACGTTCTGCAGATGTAGATGCCACTGGTTCTTCACGTTCTACAGATGTAGATGCCACTGGTTCTTCATGTTCTGCAGATGTAGTTGCCACTGGTTCTTCATGTTCGGCAGATGTAGATGTCACTGGTTCTTCATGTTCTGCAGATGTAGTTGCCACTGGTTCTTCACGTTCTGCAGATGTAGATGCCACTGGTTCTTCATGTTCAGCAGATGTAGATGTCACTAGTTCTTCATGTTCTGCAGATGTAGAAGCCACTGGTCCTTCACGTTCTGCAGATGTAGATGCCACTGGTTCTACAGATGTAGATGCCACTGGTTCTTCACGTTCTACAGATGTAGTTGCCACTGGTTCTTCACGTTCTGCAGATGTAGATGCCACTGGTTCTTCACGTTCTGCAGATGTAGATGCCACTGGTTCTTCACGTTCTACAGATGTAGATGCCACTGGTTCTTCACGTTCTGCAGATGTAGATGCCACTGGTTCTTCACGTTCTGCAGATGTAGATGCCACTGGTTCTTCACGTTCTGCAGATGTAGATGCCACTGGTTCTTTACGTTCTGCAGATGTAGATGCCACTGGTTCTTCACGTTCTGCAGATGTAGATGCCACTGGTTCTTCACGTTCTGCAGATGTAGATGCCACTGGTTCTTCACGTTCTGTAGATGTAGATGCCACTAGTTCTACATCTGCAGAACGTGAAGAACCGGCGTGGGCGCGTACTTGGCCTGCTCTTTCACGCTGGCACAGTTTCACCGACGCTCTCAAACGCCGTTCGGAGTCTAGCGGCGAACGAAACCGACTCCGTAGACGCACGGCGTCACAGTCAGGGCAGTCGGGGGGAGGGGGAGGGGCGGGTGGTGACACGCACACCGCTCACCTGAACCGGAGACGCAGGACTTGGGGCCAAAGCGTTCACTGCCAACGACACGCGGAACGCGGCATGAGCATCTCCATGTGTCCCGCGAGCTCTCTTTTTAAATCCTTTATATGAAGTTCACTCGCTTGCTTGCTTGCGCGCTTACGACCGTGCAAATCTTTCGGTCGTTTTTTAACCCACTTCCCGTGATCCAATCGAGCTGACATTTTGCACACAGACTCGTTGTGCGTGACAATTAATGTTCGTGAAAAAAAATTCCTAAATTTTACACTGTTTAGGGAAAACAAATTAAATATTTAATTACCAATTGCTTAATGGTGGCAGGCAATCATCTGACCCATAGGTGGCAGCCATCTCAAGCCAGAGGACGAGAGGACTCTAGCCGCCACGCATATAAAGGATTTATGGTGAAAAACTTAGTTTTTACGGGTTATACTTGTTAAATCCTTTATATTAAGTTCACTTGCTTGCTTGCGCGCTTACGACCGCGCAAATCTTTCGGTCGTTTTTTAACCCACTTCCCGTGATCCAATCGAGCTGACATTTTGCACACAGACTCGTTGTGCGTGACAATTAATGTTCGTGAAAAAAAATTCCTAAATTTTACACTGTTTAGGGAAAACAAATTAAATATTTAATTACCAATTGCTTAATGGTGGCAGGCAATCATCTGACCCATAGGTGGCAGCCATCTCAAGCCAGAGGACGAGAGGACTCTAGCCGCCACGCATATAAAGGATTTATTGTGAAAAACTTTGTTTTTACGGGTTATACTTATTTAAATTCAATTCAATACCATCTTTTTTATTACACGCTTTCTATAAACTCACTCTGTCTGTTGTTGTTGTTGTATCCTCAAATGTTGTAACAAAATTTTAACCCACTTCACAATATCGAATGCAAACTTGGTATACTAATGTCATGCTGATGACAATACTATATTCTATCAGTAAAAAATATCTATTTTAAACAATCTTTTTCATATGTTATCACACAGAGACCCATAGACTCATCACACAGAGACCCATAGACTCATCACACAGAGACCCATAGACTCATCACACAGAGACCCATAGACTCATCACACAGAGACCCATAAACTCATCACATAGAGACCCATAGACTCACAGAGACCCATAGACTCATCACACAGAGACCCATAGACTCATCACACAGAGACCCATTGACTCACCACACAGAGACCCATAGGCTGACCACACAGAGAGACCCATAGACTCACCACACAGAGACCCATAGACTCATCACACAGAGACCCATAGACTCACCACACAGAGACCCATAGACTCATCACACAGAGACCCATAGACTCATCACACAAAGACCCATAGACTCATCACACAGAGACCCATAGACTCAACACACAGAGACCCATAGACTCACCACACAGAGACCCATAGACTCAACACACAGAGACCCATAGACTCACCACACAGAGACCCATAACTCATCACACAGAGACCCACAGACTCATCACACAGAGACCCACAGACTCACCACACAGAGACCCATAGACTCACCACACAGAGACCCATAGACTCACCACACAGAGACCCATAGACTCACCACACAGAGACCCATAGACTCTACACACAGAGACCCATAGACTCATCAAACAGAGACCCACAGACTCATCACACAGAGACCCATAGACTCACCACACAGAGACCCATAGACTCATCACACAGAGACCCATAGACTCACCACACAGACCCACAGACTCACCACACAGAGACCCATAGACTCGTCACACAGATACCCATAGACTCAACACACAGAGACCCATAGACTCAACACACAGAGACCCATAGACTCACCACACAGAGACCCATAGACTCACCACACAGAGACCCATAGACTCACCACACAGAGACCCATAGACTCACCACACAGAGACCCATAGACTCACCACACAGAGACCCATAGACTCACCACACAGAGACCCATAGACTCACCACACAGAGACCCATAGACTCACCACACAGAGACCCATAGACTCACCACACAGAGACCCATAGACTCACCACACAGAGACCCATAGACTCACCACACAGAGACCCATAGACTCATCACACAGAGACCCATAGACTCAACACACAGAGACCCATAGACTCATCACACAGAGACCCATAGACTCAACACACAGAGACCCATAGACTCACCACACAGAGACCCATAGACTCATCACACAGAGACCCATAGACTCACACAGAGACCCATAGACTCATCACACAGAGACCCATAGACTCACCACACAGAGACCCATAGACTCATCACACAGAGACCCATAGACTCACACAGAGACCCATAGACTCATCACACAGAGACCCATAGACTCATCACACAGAGACACACAGAGTCATCACACAGAGACCCATAGACTCATCACACAGAGACCCATAGACTCATCACACAGAGACACACAGAGTCACCACACGGAGACCCATAGACTCACCACACAGAGACCCATAGACTCATCACACAGAGACCCATAGACTCACCACACAGAGACCCATAGACTCATCACACAGAGACCCATAGACTCACCACACAGAGACCCATAGACTCACCACACAGATACCCATAGACTCACCACACAGAGACCCATAGACTCACACAGAGACCCAGACTCACCACACAGATACCCATAGACTCATCACACAGAGACCCATAGACTCACCACACAGAGACCCATAGACTCACCACACAGAGACCCATAGACTCACACACAGAGACCCATAGACTCATCACACAGAGACCCATAGACTCACCACACAGAGACCCATAGACTCGTCACACAGAGACCTATAGACTCACCACACAGAGACCCATAGACTGACACAGAGACCCATAGACTCACCACACAGAGACCCATAGACTGACACAGAGACCCATAGACTCACCACACAGAGACCCATAGACTCACCACACAGAGACCCATAGACTCACACATAGACCCATAGACTCACCACACAGAGACCCATAGACTCACACAGAGACCCATAGACTCACCACACAGAGACCCATAGACTCACCACACAGAGACCCATAGACTCACACAGAGACCCATAGACTCACACAGAGACCCATAGACTGACACAGAGACCCATAGACTCACCACACAGAGACCCATAGACTGACACAGAGACCCATAGACTCACCACACAGAGACCCATAGACTCACCAAACAGAGACCCATAGACTCACACATAGACCCATAGACTCGTCACACAGAGACCTATAGACTCACCACACAGAGACCCATAGACTCATCACACAGAGACCCACAGACTCACCACACAGAGACCCATAGACTCGTCACACAGAGACCCCTAGACTCATCACACAGAGACCCATAGACTCACCACACAAAGACCCACAGACTCACCACACAGAGACCCACAGACTCACCACACAGAGACCCATAGACTCATTACGCAGAGACCCACAGACTCACCACACAGAGACCCATAGACTCATCACACAGAGACCCATAGACTCACCACACAGAGACCCATAAACTCACCACACAGAGACCCATAGACTCACCACACAGAGACCCATAGACTCACCACACAGAGACTCATAGACTCACACAGAGACCCATAGACTCATCACACAGAGACCAATAGACTCATCAGACAGAGACCCATAAACTCACCACACAGAGACCCATAGACTCACACAGAGACCCATAGACTCACCACACAGAGACCCATAGACTCATCACACAGAGACCTGTAGACTCACACAGAGACCCGTAGACTCACCACACAGAGACCCACAGACTCACCACACAGAGACCCATAGACTCACCACACAGAGACCCACAGACTCACCACACAGAGACCTGTAGACTCACACAGAGACCCATAGACTCACCACACAGAGACCCATAGCCTCACCACACAGAGACCCATAGACTCACCACACAGAGACCCATAGACTCATCACACAGAGATCCATAGACTCACCACACAGAGACCCATAGACACACACAGAGACCCATAGACATTGTGATCGGTACAAACTTCCACCACTGTTATCATCATCATCATTATTATTAATTAATTAATGGGCCTCATTCTCACCCACCTCCACAAATGCTTTATCCTGGTCCGGGTGCAATTCAAATGCATGCTGCAATCACACAGAGAGAGACACACACATCAACCTGAACATACCGTGAAGTCTGGGAATAAGTGTAGGTGGCGTGTGTGTGTGTAGGGTGACACGTGTGTGTAGTGTGTGTGTGTGTGTAGTGTGTAGTGTGTGTGTGTGTAGTGTGTAGTGTGTGTAGTGTGTGTGTGTAGTGTGTGTGTAGTGTGTGTGTGTGTAGTGGTGCGTATGCGTAGGCCTCACTAGCTCTGCAGGCCGGAGTCGTCCACTCCCGTGGGCAGGTAGACAAGCCTCTCCACATGCAGGTAGAACTCGCTCAGATCCTGCGAGGTCAACGGCAGAGGTCGCAAGCGGGTACCCGATACCTGTACCCTACCCGATACCCGTACCCTACCCGATACCCGTACCCTACCCGATACCCGTACCCTACCCGATACCCGGCCGGGTTACGGTAGGGTACGGGTGGGTAGGTGAGCGGGTTAGGGAGTGAGTGGGTGATGAAGTGAGTGGGTGGGTGGTTAAGTGAATGAATGGGTGAATGGTTAGTTGATTGGGTGGTTGAGTAGTGGGTGAGTGGTTGTGTGATTAAGCGAACGAGTGTTTGGGTGAGTGGGTAGGTGAGCGGGTTAGGTAGTGAGTGGGTGATGAAGTGAGTGGGTGGTTAAGTGAATGAATGGGTGAATGATTAGTGGAGTGGGTGGTTGAGTAGTGGGTGAGTGAGTGGGTGATTACTTGAGTGGGCAAGTGAGTGAGTGGGCGGGCGAATGGCTGAGTGGATGTGTGGGTGACTATTTGGGTTGGCAACTGAGTGTATGGCCGGGTGAGTTAGTGAGTGGCTGAGTACGTGAGTGGGTGGGTGAGCAGTGGCTAAGCGAGTGAGGGAGTGAGTGAGTGGGTGAGTGGGTGGGTAAGTGAGTGAGTGGGTGGGTGGGTGGATGGATGCACGAGTGACTGGGTGAGTGGATGGGTGAGTGGCTGGGTGAGTGGCTGAGCGAGTGACTGGGTGAGTGGCTGGGTGAGTGACTGGGTGAGTGGCTGGGTGAGTGACTGGGTGAGTGGCTGGGTGAGTGACTGAGTGACTGGGTGAGTGACTGAGTGACTGGGTGAGTGGCTGGGTGAGTGGCTGGGTGAGTGGCTGGGTGAGTGGCTGAGCGAGTGACTGGGCGAGTGACTGGGTGAGTGGCTGGGTGAGTGACTGAGTGACTGGGTGAGTGGCTGGGTGAGTGGCTGGGTGAGTGACTGGGTGAGTGGCTGGGTGAGTGACTGAGTGACTGGGTGAGTGACTGAGTGACTGGGTGGCTGGGTGAGTGGCTGGGTGAGTGGCTGGGTGAGTGACTGAGTGGCTGGGTGAGTGACTGGGTGAGTGGCTGGGTGAGTGACTGGGTGAGTGGCTGGGTGAGTGACTGGGTGAGTGGCTGGGTGAGTGGCTGGGTGAGTGGCTGGGTGAGTGGCTGGGTGAGTGGCTGGGTGAGTGACTGGGTGGCGATGATGATGGCGATGATGGCGATGACGATGATGGCGAGGATGGCAAGGATGATGATAACGTGATGATGACGAAGATGACGGTGATGATGACGGTGATGATGATGACGGTGATGACGATGGCAACGATGATGACGGTGATGATGACGGTGATGATGGCGATGATGATGGTGATGATGATGGTGATGATGATGACGGTGATGACGATGGCAACGATGATGACGGTGATGATGACGGTGATGATGGCGATGATAGCGATGATGACAATGACGATAATGACGATGATGATGACGACGACGATGATGACAATGACGATAATGACGATGATGATGACGACGATGATGATGACGGTGATGGCGATGATGATGGCGATAATGATGATGGTGATGATGATGGTGATGATGATGGTGATGATGATGGTGATGATGATGGCAACGATATGAGT